TTGCACAGGAACAGTCTACCTAATACCTCTAGATTTCCTGTATGGTACACCTTGAGGCAAGCGCAAATGAAAACCCCACAAAAGTTTGATCCCTGAAGAAGCAAGCAGAAGGCCTGGAAACATTTTGACACGCCTCAGTTGCGTGCCACCGCACGCGCCATCCCCTTTCATCTGAAGGCTCGTGTAAACGCGGCAGGTGGCAGATCTCAATTCTATTCTGGAATACTTTGTGATAGGAGTGGCAGATACTTCCTGACGTTATTATCCCCTGACTTCGGCTTAGATAAGTTAGACAGGGCTGCAAGGAAGCGACCGGAACTCATTCACGGGAAAATGGCCGTTTTGCCCATTTTCATATTGTCACTACGTATTGTGTGTTGCTAATTTGTATTTGATTTGTCTCACAGTTATAGTGGTGAAATGGTTGGTTGTATTTCCAGAGCTGCGGTTTACCAGTCGAATACTACCGGTTCAAACCGAATATTCATGACGACATGAAGGAAGCTATGGTAATATCCAACGCAAATTTTCTAGAGGTAGTATGAGCGCTCAAAATGCTTTAAGGTGGTTATCGGTCATGCGGGAGCTGGCACTTGTTTGGAATGCCTTCGGCTACGACGTCCCTTCGTAGTAGTGGTGAATGAAGATTTAATGGACAATCACCAGCAAGAATTAGCGAAAGAACTTGCTCGTGGCGAACATCTACTTTATTGCACAGTATCTTCTTTATGTAACACTCTCCTATCTCCTTCACTATTCAACTTGGTACCCTTCAGCCCACCTGAACAGAGTTTGGTAGCGAAATTTATTGATTCAAGAATGGGGCTCGCTTCTTCATAGAAAAAAGTCTTGCCTAAACCGTTATGCCTGCTTTGAGTTTCTTGTACTGTTGCTGTTGTTGTTGCTTTGTAAATAACCACATTTGTGATAACTGATTGTGTAACCTGATAGTCACTTTTATGATTTACTCATGTTCTCATGGCTCTAATAAATGCTTAGTAGTAGTACTGTTTTATTCTACTACTTGGTTTCTTGCCAAATTTTATCTGATATCTAGTGACCGCTGGTTGGACTTTCTTACAGTGAGCTGGCATGAACTATCATTGTAGGTATGAGTTCGGTTGAATGCCCAATTCATCCAAACGTCCATTTGGTTGAGGACCATAGAGCTGGTGATGTTGTTTGCCCGGAGTGTGGTTTAGTCGTTGGTGACAGGTACATTTTGTCTTCGTGTACTCTCACTTTTTACAACTCAGTTCCGATAATAATATGCTTTGTTCTAAGACTTGTTGACGTCGGTACCGAATGGCGTTCGTTTTCAAATGAAAGAAGTGGAGCTGATCCATCTCGTGTCGGCGCTCCTGAAAATCCTCTTCTCAGTGGAGGTGATCTGTCCACAAGTATTGCAGTTGGATTTGGGGCTAGCGACGGTGATACCAGGTATTTTTTTCAACGCATTCCCAAGTTTCCTCTCAACCGTTTACCATCATGGACGTAGCTTTATTTTTACGCCTATCACCCGGCCCAAATTTCATCAACTACTGGAATGCAGTGGGTATGCTACTTTTTACGGTCTGAGGTGAAGCATATGGACTCAATTGCGCGAGAGTGAGGAACCAAGTAAGGAAAGACAAAAGACAAAAATTGCGACCTCTATCTTTCTACGCTGATTTCCGTCATTTCGAGGTGAAAGTGAGGGTGTAGTGATTCTCGAAGGCGTAGCGAAAAATGGGTAAAACCTTGTGGTATTTTCAACCACGACTCTCCCCGTGAAAACATTCCCTTCTACAAACAAATACACCTCCCTTCTTCTAGGCATATAAACCTATACGAAGTAACAGTTTTTCTCAGCCACTGCTGCTCCCCGTGACATTCCATTCTACAAAACAAATACACCTCCCTTCTTCTAGGCATATAAACCTATACGAAGTAACAGTTTTTCTCAGCCACTGCTTTAGCACGTCACTTTCGGTCTGACCCGGTGCTTTGCACCACATCCACGGGCGTGTTCTTCGAAATCTGCCACGCGCTTCATAATGAAGTGTTCTCATTTAGTCTCGCTAATGCCCAGCGAAAAAGCATGAATAACACCGATCGCCAAATGACACAAGCAATGAGTGTTATAAGGGAAATGAGTGAAAGAATTCATCTCGCAAAAAGTATACAGGTGAGGTTTATTTTTCGTATTTTTCGTAGTTTTTTAGTGCGTATTGCTTACATCGTCCACATTTGAATTAGTTGCTTCTTGAGCTCGGGTTTTTTTTTGCCAAAAAGGAAATATAAGTTTAATCAGATTTGGTTTGATTTTTTTGAGTCTGTAAATGTGTACTCATTGCCAGGATTTGGCTTCGAAGACTTTCAAGGACGTCCTGGATAGCAAGGCTCTCAAAGGGAAAAATAATGAGGCGCAAGCTGCTGCTTGCCTCTATATTGCTTGTCGAAAAGAAGGTGTTCCAAGGACATTCAAAGGTATTTTCAATGCGCATAATTTTTTCAAATGTTTGCACGGATTCGAATAAGCCATTTGTTCACTCGCTCTCCCGTAAACTTTGGATCGTGTAAAAGTATTAAACACCTGTTCAGAGATTTGTGCTGTTTCACGTGTTTCGAAGAAAGAGATTGGACGTTGTTTCAAGCTAATAATAAAGAGTCTCGAGACTAATCTTGAACAGATCACCTCAGCTGATTTCATGTCAAGATTTTGTGGAAATCTATCGCTTCCGAATTCTATCCAGGTAAGGAGATTTATACTCAAATCGCTACCCGATTTGTCCTTCAAGTTTTGACTTTGATTATCTGGTGTACTTTTGGTTAACACTTATAAAAGCTCTGGACAAAGCCAAGTTTGAGCTCAGTAAAAGTTGTTATCAAGTTGTTGTGAGCTCATTCTTCATTGTGACTCAAGATTGGTATATGTTGAACCTGGTTTTTGCTTCAACCAGTTTGGTCCCCCGTC